AGTTACAGAAATAATGCTGTAACTTATTATATTATTTACTATAGCTATGGTAAGTTACAACAATCATTGGAATGATTCTACTGTATCACTAATAAATATTTTTTGTTATCTATGAATATTCTTGAATGAATATCTAGATATTATATAAATATTCATAGCTCTTATAAAGAATTTCTGAAGATTTATTGAATATTGATAATCTAATAAATATTATAAATATTTTCATTTATTTTAAAACATTTAGTAAAAATTTGACTGAATGATTATTTGTTGATTTGATAATTTTTGATTTTGGCTGTTATAAAATCTTGATTTGGGTGTGAATAGTAATATAACAATAATTATATATGTATTGCAAACCAAAGATCTTAACAAAAAAACTTATCAAATCAGCTAAATAATCATTTAATAAATTTTTACTAAATGTCCTAAAAATAATGAAAACAGCTGTAAATATTTATTTTTAACTATGAATATTCACAGATCCCACCTCTATATACAGGAATTCTTCTGATTGTTCAAGATAATGAGAATGCCTTTGATGATGATGATGATAATAATTTGATAGAAGAATTGTATAATAATATAGAGATGCTTAACTTTCCAAATATAATAGATTTAAAAGAATACATTAATTATCTAAAAGAAAAATATATAACTGGAATGTTAAGTGACCAGGAAATTATAAACCAAATTATATATCTAGAACCTGAAACAGCTGAAGATAATGAGGAAGATGATAGTACAGAACTACCCCAAGTTAATCACAAAGAAGCATTAGATGCTATATGTTTATTAGAGTTATATCTTATGCAACAGGATCTTAGCAATGCAGTTCATATAGAACATAACTCAGCTTTATTAAAATTGTCTGGGCTAGTTAGAAAATTCCAGAATGCTTCATTCAAGCAACTAATTATAAAAACTTTCTTTGAGCCAGTTATATAATGTATGTATATAATACTTTTTTTTTTGTATATTAAAGTCAAACCTTCATTTAATATTGCTTCTATATTTTCAAAAATTGAACTAGAAAAAAAAATTTTAATTAGATCTCCAAAAATAAAAATAAAAAAATTTTCTTTAAATTTATGCCCAGTTTATCAAATTTGAACATAATTTGGGTTCATTTTTTGAGCTTTGTTTAATTGAGATAAAGCTTAAACTTAAACAATACAACTGTTTAAGTTTAATAAATCTAATAATAAAAGTCTTGAAAACTTATGTATTCAAAATAGAGTTAGATTTTGATTTTTCTTTTTTATAAAAATTTAATAAAATGTAGATCAGTTTGAAGACTTAA